GAACGATCCATGACGATCCTTCGCGATGCAGTGGTCTCATGAAATAAGGAAACGTATTCGTGCTAGGAACACACGGGAATTTCGGACGAATAAATCTTGCTTGTATTTTGTAGATATAATAATACTTTGTTTCATAATAAACAATTTGTAAAGTGTCATTTATTTACTGGTAATAGTGCATGTTTCAGTCGAGCAAATCATGATTAATATTTGATACGCCGTTTTTTGCATATTTCAAACACATCCAGAAATATGCTCCAGATTTTAAATATTAATATCTCCGTGAATTTTTAAGTGAAATACAACTGTAATATATCAAAATCTAAGTTAGTCCTTCCTCTATTTAATGCAAGTTATTTCTCTTTAAAAGCTTTACTTGTTTAGAAGTTATTACGAATCAAACAGGAGTACTTTTTTTTGGGACACCCGGTATATATATATATATATAATATATAATATATATATATAATATATATATATAATATATATATATATAATATATATATATATATATATATATATATATATATATATATATATATATATATATATATATATATATATCTATATATATATATATATCTATATATATATATATATTTCAATCAATCGATTGGATATCGCAGTATAAACATACAAATACATAGGCTACATAAACTCCAAATGCAAAGTTATGAGTATCTTCGCAACATGCAGCTTGCAAAGTCAATTACTGCGATCTCAAAAGAATGAAAATTGGACTCACCAACAATATTACCAAATAAGATCAAAAGGAAGCAAAGACAGAGAATTTTCATGTGTCCTCGACCCAGATTTCCAAACCATTCAATTGTCGTCTACAACAAATGGAAGAGAAATCTACAGTAGATTTTGACGCCTACGTCGGTGGTTTATTTTGATGTGCAGTTCTACACAAGATGTGCAATTCTAAACCTTTAATGTGCTGTTCTTAAAACGCAAATGTGCAGTCACCAAATTAACAAAAACATGACCTTAAAACAGTTTTCCCGTTTACTTTGTGGATGCTCCGGAAATGCCAGAATGTGGTGATTCTCAACTTTTAACGTAAAATACCGTATCAGTAACCCAGGTAAAAAATCCTTTCAACCTCCCACCCCCCTCAGTCAAACACCTGATCCTTCGTAATATCCCCATAATTATGTGCATGAAGTTCTAAATTTTTCTTAGGCCAAATAAAAAAATATGTGGGTTTCCGGTTTCCCGACCCTACCTAGCTTTTGGACGTTGAAATCCCGACCTTAACTTTTTTATTGGATCACGCTTGTAAGTGTTTCCACTTAGAGCAAAACGTTTGTGGAAAATGAAAATTTGAGGCAATATTAGGGAAATTTATGTTTGGATGTGGAAGCACTGACTAAACAAAATGGCGTCTGGTTGTTAGGAAGATTAAAAAAAAAGTTTAAAAAAAAAAGTTAAAACCTACCTACCCTACCTAAGTTTTTACAAGAGGAAACCGGAAACCCACATATTTTTTTTGGCCTTAAAATAAACCCTTGCCTAAACACAGGGGGGTGTAAGTGAATTTTGCAGCATTATCAAGGCATGCACTAAAAAATATTTCTTTTCTCCAACATCAAAAAAAATTTTCCGAACAACATATTTGTCAATCTTATTTTGTGTTTAACTATAAAATAAAGTTGAAACAAGGTAATTTTAAGAGGAACGCCAAAAAGATTGCCTCTTTAATAATAAACTCTCATCATGGCTTTGATAAATATTCGAAATGACATTTCAAAATTGAATTAGCTTAGTTTAGTTCCAGTAACAGCACAAAGTTCATTCAAACGACTTTTAATATGGTCAGGAAACGGTCATATTAACAGCCCTATTAAAATATTTTGATTTTGTGGCATCAGCCGCGTAATTTTCATACGCTAGAATGCCAATCATATATACAACTAATCCTATTTGCTTTGTCAATATTTATTCGTTCACTTACCGGTTCTATAAACAAACAAACAAACCAACGCAAAATAGACTTTGTCACAAACAGGAATTAACGTTCTTGACAGCTATATATTTGCCTCAATACTAAAACAATTTAGTCACACAAAATTTTGCTAAGCATCGCTTCAACGCTACAGAAAAAATGTTTAAAAAAACGCATAAAATATGAGATTCAGTAAGAAATACACAGGTGGCTATGACTTGTGTTCTATCGGAGTTATTCATGCGTTAAAACTTTAGGGTACGTAGCCCAGATCTCTCACTTGATTGGCTCATAGTTTTTTCATTTTGCAAAATAATCACTATAACGTATAATAAAGAAATAAGTGAAAACAATCATGAATGAGTGACTTTATAGCACTGAGAATACTAGTGGAATTTTGAAAACAATGAAAAGACAATGGAACAATGGGTCGAAGTTTATTTCATCAATTGTGTATTGAGCGTTTGCAATCATTCCTCAGGGACCAAAACTCAACAAAAGCCATGACGGCCATGCATGTGCCAGTTCCAGACAAAACAGTCCAATTAAAATTCTTTTGAACTGGAACACCAACATGGCGGCTGTGATTGTATTGTACAGGGTGTCCCCCTAAAAAAAACGCAAAACCATTGAAATGACGTATTGTTTAAATTTGAATGCCTTAGCACTAAGATGAACGCAAAGATACGTAAAATATTGACAAGGGTGCATATATTAAATATTGACTTATTAAGAAATTAAAATATCTTTGTAAAGCGCACGATTCTTGGGAATTTAAAACAGCTTCTTAAACGGTTTCTTTGTGAATAAAATTTACTTACGTCAACCTTTGATGCACGTGTGGGTTCAGCAAAGTACTGAGGCATTCAAATTCTAACAATACGTTATTTCAATAGTTTTCTTTTTGGGGGAACACCCTTGCATTGTGCAAACGCTCTACAGTATAGCAAGATAGCTGTATCAGTTACATTTGTAAACCGCTTTTCATGGAGTGTTACGCATCCGGATTACTCACTGGAATTTTTTCAAAATCCTTACTATATGGAAATAGTAGGGACATTCAATTTCCATACCAATTCCAATTTTCATACTATTTAACAATTATACCATGAGCTCGAGTCGTATATGAGCTGATAGCCGACGAGGTGCGTAGCATCGAGTCGGCTATCAGCCATATACGACGAGAGCGAATGGTATAATTGTTTTATAATTAATTATCCTCTGTTACAATGTCAATGTCTTGACAATTTGTTCGGCCAAAAACCGCTTGGCCTTGAAAATTTGAAATACTTTTGTTTTACAACTCGAAGACGAAGTAAAAGAAATGGTTTTAGAACCGGTATATCTCACAGAAAAGCTCAGATATATTATACAGATGTTTGGTATTATAGAAAGTGCTTGTTGACTGCAAATTAATTTGTCTTTCGTTGCAAACTTTTCTGAACAATTTATATTCTCAATGAACATGTTTTTTTCGCTGTTGTTTCGGTATTAATTTCTTTTAAAAAAAACTTGTATTTAAACTAATTTCTATGTAATAAATGTATTTTGCTAACCTGTCAAATTTTTTAAAGAATTTTTCCTTGTACTATTATCATTCTCAAAGCGAATATTTTCTTTTTTTCTGCTTCGCAAAACTCATGTACTTTTTGGACCGCCATCTTGTTTTTCGCTACTCGTCGTATATGAGCTGATATACGGCCAGTAATTCAACCAATCAGATTGCAGAACAGCTCATATACGGTGAATGACTATATTATAAATAGGGATATAGTATGGAATATAGATATTATAAATAGGGATATAGTATGGAATATACTATGGATATAGCTATGGATTTCATTCTTTTTTTTTCAGTGACTGCAGGAGGAAACCGATATATAATCAGTGAAAACCTGGGAGCACTCTTCTTACATGTGACCGAGAGGCAAAATGATACATATCATGAATTCTTGTTTCTGGTGTTATGCTCTCACATAGTGAAGATATATGTTTGTGATGTTGTTAAGAGTACGTCCACAATGGGCAAGCTGAAATGTTTGCTTGACTGCGGCGGTGGGAATGGAACTTTGGTTTGCTAGTCCAATGCTCTACCAACTGAGCTACGAGGTCAAGTCGGTACTAGTGATATTTCGGAACACAGTCTAGTTCCTTCGATATCAGCTAGGTGTTTTACAATCTTGAATCTGGCCTTGGTATTATGCATTATAAACGGTGCCACCATGCATCACACACAATACTACTGAGGTTTATATATTTCTTCTATATATTCACAACAACAATTATTCAAGTATTATTTTCTATTATACATCCAGGTGATCTTGATACGCGGAAAAGTACTGGCACTAGTTGTCAAATAGAAATCCATTTTATGATTAAAACAACCCTTTCTGAGCGCTGATTGGCTAAAATACGAACAC